TTTATAACTTAAACTAAAACCTTTTGGCAGGCGATGGCAATGCGGTGTCATTTATTTTATATCATAGCGTTGATTACTATTAGAGAGTATTTTCACAAAATAAACCAACCAAACCATATAAATAATCCAGGGCAAAACACTATAAGTCCACCATTAATTAAGCAATATTTATGGGCAATATTGTAGTACTTTAATAAAGGTATTCGGAATTCTCTGTAGCACGGTGGTGGCTGCATCCTTTATCGTGGTAGGACGAAGGGTCGCGGGAGGGGCGTCGGAAAAATTGCACATAAATATTGAAGCTGCCACTTACACGTGGGCCCGCCGCCGCTCGACAGAATTATGTGGATTTACCATTACTGGTTTAACTTAACCACTACTGTTTGCCTGACTCTGTTTTTGAATATTTATATTAAAAAAAATATGAGCCCCATGCATGATTAACATACCATCCTTTGTTTATTTATATATGGTCGAAAAGCTATTTAAGAATTACGTTTCCCCTAATAAAAGCTATCGCAATAATTGTCAATTCCCTGTTTTAGTTTATGACCAAGCATAGTACCATACCCTGACTTTCTTTAGAATCTTATTTTATAACTCCCCACACTTACTGTGTTTTTGGGTCATATAATTGGATATATTTATTTGTGCTTGTTTCTTTAGGTACCCTTCAAAGTAAACCTGTTTGTGTGTAGTTATTAAGTTTGTAATAACTATAATTACGCAGAAAGACCGCATTAATTATTACAGAAATGTATATAGTGAATTATAACTCCGTATATTGATTCTGAAATATATTTTTTCTAGGGTAAGATAATAAAAAATCGAGAAAGACTTAACGTGGCAATACACATAACAGTAAAGACAGGTCCACATTATTCCTTCCCGCTAGCGCTACACAGGCCCTCTTTCTTTTTCTTGTAGCAAATTTCGCAACAATCTCACTTATTATGCCACACAAATTTCCGCGCTCCCGGCCTCCTCTAGACGTGAAATTAAAATTTCCTACTTACCTACCCCCTACCGTCTTGTACACGACATGAATTGCTTAATAAATATTGTGGCCTTCCTACTTACAATTTCGCCATTTATATAAAATTATGTTTAAATTAACTTAATAGTCTTGTTAAACAACTAATTATGAACATAATGGACACATTTTTCATTTCTAGTTAGCAAAACGGAACAAAAACATTTTGTTTTCCTAACAAGAAAAATGTAATTTATAATGATACCGTTTTATCGCGCATTATTTAGAGTACCTAACTTAAAATTTTTGTAAAATTAGATAAATGACTGACATTACTATAATAACGCCATCATCATATTTTTACGATTTGCCAAAAGTTTTTTTTTTTAATTCGGTCACTGTTACTATGACATATTAATATGATCCTCCATTGGTAAATGGTTAAACATGTAGTAACGCTACATGCTGGGTTCAAACCCGTAGAAAAAATTCTAATTAGTGTCTATAGTGCCGAAGAAGTCTAATTAAATTGTATAAATATAAAATCGATCAGTACTCAGTAAGTCAACTGTAAAACTGGCACAGAAATGTTTCTAGGTATTTTAAGCAATGTGTCTATTTTTTATTAAAATACAGAATATTTTATTGTTTCAGGTTTCATAACATCATGAAGAGGTAAGTCACTTTATATCTAACATTTAAATTTTTTTCTGCCTTCACATTTGTAAATAAGCCGGTATGTATCTATTAATATTAATATATATTTATAATGCAAGAACGGAATAACATTAATTTAATTTATTGAATACAGAAAACGATACAGTCTTTGAAGTTTACCACATAATATTATGTTAATTTAGGACTCGTGCTTTGAACTTGCTTTACGAGTTTTTAATTTTAATTACGGACGCAAAATAATGAATTATTTATTTTTTAGATAGGTAAAAAAGTTCTTGTATTTCGTAAAGATTATTTGATATGGTAAGTATATTTTTGAGGTTAAGAAATTACTTTTTTGATTGAATAGATATTCATTCATATATCTAAATTCTGTCCAGCTACAGACCAGCGATCAACCGATGGAAATGCCTAGCTTTGCGAACATCCATAACCAAAATTGGTTGACAGCGTATTTTGTTAAATATATATATATAGCTGGGGTGTTTCAACTTCCATCGAGAGAACCCTAAGCTTTTATGTCTTAAAATAATCTCTTATTAGAATTCAAGCCACAATATTTGAAAGTCTATATTAAAAAGAATTGCTGAAGAAAATAGGTAGTCCATTACTAAACACTGAATATTTTCTGCTAACAAATTGGTAAATACGATTGCGAATTAAATTATTGAAATGAAAAAGTGGTGAGCTAAATTAAACTAACAGTAAACGTCACCTGAAACCAAATCCCACGATCCGATCAACGTCAAAGTAATCGCCTTTAAACTCCAATTAAACACTCATTAACCAATTGTTCTAATCAGCGGTGTCGTCTATATCACTCTGATGAGCGCTTTAAAGTGACAAAACAAGTATTTAGTGGATTTAAAAGCGTCGGTTCTATAAACTGCTCGTTAAATCTCGAGAGCGATAGTTGTAAATTTTCTCAAGAGTGTAGAACTTTTACGATGGACGTTGCCACACCCACCTGAGACTTTGTGGCTGTATGATGCTTCTCATACATCGATCCACTATAAAACAAGGCGTGATGTGCTCGGCGAGCCTTTAGCTAAAGCTGGCCACCAATATGTTAGGTGATTAAAGATTTACTGCTTCCACCGCTAAAGTCTAGGTATCTGTTATGTTGTACATTGTCATACCTATTGAGGTAAATGAACGGTTAATACTTTATTATGGATTTTTCTAATAGAAAACTCACTGCACACACGTAATAGCAGATTCTTAGATGAATGTCCAGTTCAGACTTTAACTTTAACAAATATACTTAACAATTTAAAATTAGATTTTTTTAAATCGTTATAGAATGGGAGTTTGTGCAATTTTATTGAAATAATATAACATATAGACTTACATAACAAAATTAATATTAAACTATTTAAATGTTAACCGCTACATTAGAGAAAATTAAAGAGTACTTAATAAATTCTTGCCAAAAAATGCATTTTTGGAATCCAGGTTATCAAAGCATTAAGGAGTTGACAGAAATTATTGCGACTTTGAAAATTAAATGTATCAGCGCTTCCTAATTGGATGTAATTTATGAATCTTTTAATAAGAAATGATGACCTTATTTTAAACTTTTTTTTAATGTAAAATAACACTGGTTGGTCATATTACCCACCTAATATTTGAATTTAAAAAAATAGGTGTTTTAGTTACCTTTACATTCTTTTAATATACACTTTAGTTATGTCAATCAAACCTACCTACTTAATTAAAGTTACTAAGTACGTTTCGAAAGTCAACCCAATTTAAATAACCATCATGCGTTTAATTAAAAGAAGTATTCCCACCGAATGATGTCTAATAAGACAGCTTCTTTAACATTTAAGTAAGGGAAATCAATTATGAACGAATAAAAAATGGCTCAGCCGTAAAATAAATGTCCTAAACTGGCCATATCGGAGTTTCTATGCCTCTATAGCATAAACATCACAATAACAACATAAACTCAATACTTATGCAATGTTCTACTGCCTCACCGCTGTACCACCGACCTGATAAAGCTGAAAAGGCAACTTAAGCCTATAAAAACCATGCACTAAACACATTCGAACAATCAAAAGTGTACTAAATAAATAAAGTTCCCACGCAATAAACAGTTTTATTTAAAAGGTTGTAAAGTTTGTTATTGCGCACGTGCCAGCTGCGGTTACGACTGGTGATCATGAATGAAATGTGTGAAAGAGACAGAAGGTGTCAGAGAGAAATAGAAGGCCCGGTTCGACCACGTGGCTGGCGTAACTCAGCGAAGAGCAATTCTTATTAGGATTTTATTATTCGATTATATTGTTATGGCGCGAAGGTATTTCTTATTACTTGCAAACAATAAAATTTGAATAAATTATGATATGGGAGCTGTAGATACATATTATACTATATGTAAATTGATATAGCTCTAATTTAAGTTTTTTTTTTAATAAAGTTATTTAAAGTGTAAGAAATAAAACAAACTGCGAATATTTTTATTATTATAATTCACGTCCTTACAAACTAAAATTAAAAGAATGGCTCTTTTTCGTGTAGACTATAAATATCGTAAAATAAAGTTATTCATTTTAAGAATTTCCATGTTTAATTGTGTTGTCAAGTGAGCCTTAGAGGTCTATGGGTAAGTAATTGTATTATATTCATTACATTATTAGTATAAGAAAATGGTTTTCGATGTCTAACATGTACATTTGTTACCTAAATCTAAATTTAAACAGATGTAGTTCCAAATTGTATTGAACTCAAGCGTAAAATTTATATTATGCAATAAGTTATTATTATAAATAATTAAACACAGTTCTTCTTATAAAATAATAAATAATTCTCAATTCTTATAAGATTTAATTAATAAACACTAAATTGAACGCGTTTATATTGGCACTTTATTGCATAAGATTGTTCAGTTTGACAGCTAGAAGTGCCGGAATGGTTTGTGATTGGCGCTGAATGTTCTGCAACGGATTACTATTGGCGTAGACGAGTAGAAGCCGGGGTGGTGCGGGGCTCGGCGCCATTACGAACAATGGCCGGCGGAATGGTCGTTAGCGAATAGCTTTTATCTCTTTCTAATATAAGCCACGCAGGTAGGAATTAATGAGACGGCGAGGGTTGCCTGCTTTCCCCCGCTGGGTCGTCGCCTCTCGCTCGCACCCACGTGTCCCGTTTCGCCGTCTCGTACACGGCGCGCGGCAGCGGTAACGCGCGCTACGACGGGGAATTCAGAGTCGTAGAGCCTCATACGCGGGTCATAAACGATTCGCGGCCATAGTAGAGGTGCACGCGCGAGAATCGATCCGAATCGCCGGCGATAAACGCATCTCCGCGAGGCGATCGTCGCGCGCCGCGTCGCCGCCGAGCGATGAGTTCCAAGTTCATCATCGATAGCATGCTCCCCAAATACCACCAGCAGTTCCATCATCAGAACTTATTCGCGGGTGCTGGGGCATCGCCTATAGAGGCGTCTTTATCATCGTCCCTGTCGTCCTCGCTATCGACGTCCTTATCGTCGTCGTTGTCCGGGGGTTTGGGAGCGGCCGCCCTCGGGGCCGGTTCGCCAGGCGCTGGAAGCCCGCAGCGGTCCTCATCATCGTCATCCGCGTCGCCGGGTGCGCCGGCAAGGATGTACCCGTACGTGTCGCACCACCAGCAGTTCGGCGGGTCCGTGCCGTTTCCCGCGGGGAGTGGGCTATCGGCGGACGATAAGAGCTGTAGATACCCAACTGCTGTGAGCGGTGACCCAATGGTAAACTACGCCCTCGGTCAGCACAATGGCGGAGCAGCTGTCTCTGCAGCATCAGCTAGTATGGCTGCAGCGGCTCAGTTCTATCACCAGGCGGCTGCGTCTGCGGCATCTGCAGCATCTGCGGCCTCAGTGGACGCAATGGGTGCGGCTTGCTCTCAGCCTTCGGCGCAACCATTACCAGATATACCACGCTATCCCTGGATGTCTATAACTGGTAAATGTTTATATCTTGTTGAATGCATGTATTTTTGTAGAATCTCGGTAGCTTACTTGTAAAAAGTTTTTATTTTTATTTTTGGTGTCATTTTTTGTTAAAAGCTATTGTTTTTATTTTTTAAAAGCGTAGATTTAGACTACAGAATTTGTAAAATCTACAACAGTAGAGTACTGATTGATATATAGGTACCTACCTACTTACATATATGCACCTACCAAATAATTCATTCTACACTTATAATGACAAATATGTTTTAATTAGTATAATGTTATTGTTATTTTAACGAATATTAACAATTTAGGTGGCTATCTGCCACTTATTGGCTATTAGGCTATCTTCTAGACGCCGTCAATTGATTTTAATGACAATTGAATCCTAAAGCTGCAATTAAAATCACTTATGAACGATAAAAAACAATAATGTTATCTATTATAAACAATATTATTTATATAATAGACCATTTAAATTCACGAGTAATTATTCTCACTTGATAAATCACAATAATTCTTATATGATTTTGTTCATTTGAGTTTTATCGGATAATTGGGTATTTAAAAATACATAGCTTCTACACTTCAATATGTTAAAGTGAGATAAATTGCGGAAAATCTTATCATTCACATAAAGCTGTACTTATTATTAATAAAAATGTATAAGCACAGATAATCATTGTTAAGTAATATCTGAATAACTAAATATATTTCTAGTTATAATTGTGGCAATTAACAAATTAAACGCATTCCCTAGCATATTATCCGGGACGCGTTGTCCTAAGTCTTAATCCCTGGAAAACTTCAGTTTCGTTCTGGCTAGTTTAGAAGCCTGACCTTTCTGACTTTCGAGTAAATAAAAACTCAAATAAAAAACGCTTAGGAGTTCATCGGTTTCATGCATCACGTAGGAACACTTTCTTCAACCCTAACGGCTTAATTTGCTCTAGTACCAAAACAAGAAACTTCTTCCCTTAATTAATTGATTACAATGGACACGTAAAAGTGTAGTATTATCTGTATAAATACCACTTATAATTATTAGTAATATCCACTTTTTTTTACTGATTAAGATGTCCGTCGGGTAGTACCTACGATCTTGGATCAAGATATTAAGAATATAAAATTACCTATAGTTAACAAATTAGCTAGTAGCATCGAATACAAGCGATTCGCATAACAATAGAACCAAACTAGACTTATTTTAAATCGTAGATATTTTTTCGGTAGTGTAGAGGTTTGTGACTAGACTTAGTTAAATATATCATGGTTTCGAATCACACGTTGAGTGAAATAACAGTTTGGAATATGTCCAAGACAAATTATATTTAAATATTTGATAATAGTAGGTGTTTGTCTTGATAGAGTACGTTAAGCCCTCGGTCCCGGTTATAACTGACTTAGTGGCCGCTAACTTCACGCCCCGTTGGAGCGACGTGGTGGCTCTAGAAAGTATCTCCCTATAAGATAGGAGATCTGTACCCATTACTAGGTTCTTTAAAGGTTACAATAAGGGTTAGCAGTATAGACTCCGTTAGATTGCATTCACGTGTGAGGTCCACTTTGTACTCAAAAACTGTAACTATTAAAGTTTTACTGCTTGTATGCTTTGAATACAATGATGCAATTATTTTTATTCGCGTTTTTATTGCGATATTCCCGTTCAAATCTAATCTTTATTTGGTGGCTTTATTGCGTGCCAATTTAAGTGTCCATTATGGATAGGTACAATTTAAATGCGTACTTTTTATTAACTATTTAATGTTTTCAGAATGGCTCATTAGGGTTTATATCGGGTATGTTACTAATAAGTTGGATTAAATTAAAGGATATAAGAGAAACGCCATTAACTACATTTTAAATTATAAAAAATATACCTACTCTTATCTTTATCTTTTTCTTAAGTTTTTTATAGAACAAACTTTTAAGGAAACCTTTTAAAATGTGCTTATTGAAATAGATAACTTTTAAATAATTTTACTATTTCATACATACAGTTAAAAATAAAGGGGATCAATTTAATTGTTTTAAAAAGGAATTTAAAACCTTAATATTATGTTAAAATCGGCTCTAGATTTAATTACTAAATTATGTATTCAGTCCAATAAACAATTCGTCCCCTTAATTATTCCACTAATGAATGTCACTTTCAAAATATAGCCGAGTGGGCTATACATAGCAGACATTCAAGAGATTTATTTGCTAAAGGGCATTTACCCAGTGTTCTGAATTCAATTAACATTAAAATATCTTTTGTTTTTTTCTTATTCTTCTGTCCCAAACAACCAAATTAAAGTTTTAGATACCTACGTAGGAATATTTGACGTTTTTTGTATAGTGAAATACTGTATCTCCTCAAACATGTTCTTACGTTTTTAGTAATCTAGGACAGTTACAGATACTTAGTTAAAATTTACTTAATTAAATAGTCCAGTGATTCGTTTTTATGAATTTCACCACTTGCGACTACGACGTTTTTACTAGCTAGCTGTCGTTGATAATAATTATTTAAAACTGTTAAAAATATGATTCTTAAGATCTAAAATCGCATTTCCTGTCACGTATAATATAGATAACAATAAATTAGACATGTAAAGAAAATATAATCAAAGTAAATGTGCCACCTCAATGCGATCATAGCTCATTAAAATTATACTGAATGGTCTATAACCGACTTGTTTCTATTTCAAAATGGCCTCTTCACGTGATTTGTAGCTAATGTAGGCTTATTAAAATTATTGCGTCGTGTTTCAGTGGGTTCAAAAATAATATTTTGAGATCAACAACGTATAGTGACATCAACTCAATTCCAACAGTTTTGATGTCGCCAATTCTTTTAAGAAATATCGTAAAATGTCATATTTCTGTTACCTTTCATTTATTTGTAACACCTTACCACTCTATTGGTTAAAAAACTAGCCAAATATCATACTAGCTTTGTAATATTACTTCATCTTTCTGTAAATTTTGAATTATTATGTTTTGCACAAAATAAAAAGTATTTTATATAATCTTGAATAATTAATAGAAACAAATTATATAAAATATTTAAGGAACAGAACACATTATACCTATTACAAAAATTCTATCTCCCGCCATATACCCTCTGCTTGATGCGCCTTAAGTGCACTGCGCATGCGTCAAACAAACATGGCCGCCGCTCTTGACCAATAGGATCACTTTAATGACTTCTGATCTAACGCAACTGACTTATGGATATAAAATGATTAAAGTTATTTAAAAATATGTATTAAACTCTCTAACTCTCTGAGAATTATTTTAATGCCAGTGTTTCTATTTCTAAAATCTAAATGTTCCTAATTAATGAAGAAATTGTAAGTAATATGAATAATGAAGTATTTAATTCATCAAATAATGTTTTAATAAAACATATTTAAAACAGTTACAATATCACAAGACTATTAAAAAATATAAGTCTGCACGATTCATAATATTGGTAAATCATAAAATATCGAGAACTACCTATATCTATACTAGACGGCTACAAAGTGTCAACGAAAAACATATTTATGCCCTTCAAAATCATTTTTTAGAAAAATAATTTTCAACGCCCTTATCGGCTCTGTGAAATGTGACTTTGGAGTATCGATACTCGCTTGACATTCGAAATATATCGATGTTTTATGACGGCACTTTGTAATTACCGATTGTGTAATCAATAACCTTTATGTTTCCGATTGGCACGATTCGATTAATTTTAGTACCTTACCAAACCGGAGTAGGTACTTGAATGCACATAAAAGCACTTTAATTATGCGGTATTTTTTTTTAATCGCCTCATTGATAAACGTATGTTCATCATTAAAACTTCGAGTAATTGAAATAAGTAACGAAACGGTACACTTGTTTTATTTTACTATATTTACTGTATAAATTCGATAAATTATTTTTAGAAGGAAGGCTTATAATATGTCAAGGGATGATCGGTCTCGCATGTTCTGTTCTAAACATAAAAATAAATTTCACAAATTAAACACGAAAATCATTCTGCTTTAATACACTGGTGTTGTGACAGTTGCAACACGCGAAATCCAATAAGCGTAACGGGTAAATGAGGTGTAAATAAACTGAAAACAATAAACTACATTTATGAACGCTAGATCATAACAGAAGATAAAAAAGTAAGAGGTTCAGACTCTAGCGCATGTCAACGATAAAAATAATCGCGTGCGTTATCATAATCGCTACCGTTTTAACATTTACTTTGAAAATCTAAATCTAGTTACGTTTTTAATAGTGTTTATGTTCGTGTTCAATTGAACCGTAAAATGTGCAGTATTAACAAATCTTAGAATATTTAAGCTGTAGTTTCCTATTGCAGAGTTTTCAACCATCTATTTACTTTTAACTAAATATATGTATTATTATTCTAACATGTGTATATGTGTGTGTAAGAATAATCAAAGAATAGTATAATGTTTTAAGACTGTCGAGGCTTGAGAAGTGTTCTCCGCTCTTAACACTGAGAAACCAATTTTTTTTATTGGACAAGGCGTAACAGTTTATTTATTTGAAAAAATATCAGTAAAAGAGATCCAGAAAGGTTTTGGGCCCATGTTCCGTGTACGATTTTTTTTGCTTTAAACAACTAGGTATGTAAACTTTATAATGAGCTGATTTTTTTGCATGGTAATATTTTATTCACTAGACCATAATTATAAAATATAATAATTTAGTAGAAAGTATGGATAGAGTAATATTTTTGTTACTGTTAAATGAATGCTAACATACCTAATGTTATTGTGCATTATTTCAGTGCAGTCATAGTTGTGCATGTATCTGTGTCTGAAAAAGAACTTTCATTACGATTGATAATAGATTTTCCATTTCCAGATTGGATGAGCCCCTTCGACCGCGTGGTCTGCGGTGAGTTTAATGGTATTTATCGTTTCATATTTTTTTCTTTTAATTTTAAGTAGTTTTAAAATAAATCTAGATACACGAGCACAAACATTAAGAACATTAAAATTATTAAAAAAAATTGCCGGCCACGATAGCTAACCGTAGCAGCCGCATGCATAGGAAAAACAACCTAGAATTTTCTCCTTGGCATTTTCAATATTATTTCCCAATTCAATAGTTATGCTCGTGTAGAGAGATAAAAATGCCTTCCGTAATATTAATTTGCAATTATTAATTTGACATGCTTTGTCGAATTATTGCAATAAATGCCTACTGTTTTTGTGAACAGAATGAGTAATTTGGCATCGGTTTCGATAGCTTTTATTAATTGAGCAAAGCTTCGATTTAGCAATTAAGCGTTTTAATTACGAGTAATGACTCATTTTTACGTATTTTTTGGCCTATAGGACACTTGGGTCAAAGATAATTTTTTGGTTTATTTTAATGATTCCAATTTAGACTTTGGAATCATTATCGCCTACCATAATTTAAAATCGAGGAGATTTAGCTATTGTCGTTAGGGGAGAGATTCATTAGCGTAAAGATAAAATTTGACATGGGTCTCTGAACTTACAATATATGGCGTACCATGCTGTAACTTTACCAGTTGGCCGTAGGTTCCAGTTCTTAAGTCATATATTTTGAATTATAAAATTTAAAAAAAAAACACGCTTTAAGTTTTTAGTATAGGTATGTTACATATATAGTTTTAGATAAAACCTTTAAAATAGTTTTATTCAAGAAGAAGGCTTTTCTTTGTTTTTCTTAATTCTATAATACAATTCTGATATCAAATACTTTTAAAAACAAGTGGAGAAATGAAATTTCGATACATGCATTGACTAAAGTGCCGTAAAAGAAGAATGTTTTTGCAAACATTTCAACACAATAAGTTTTTTTAAGTGACGAAAAGGGTTTATTTGCAATGAACACAAACTTTCACCATTAACAAAAGATTGTGCAATGGTCTTTAACAGGACCGAAGCATTAAGGTGGCAAAATGGCGAAGATATTTCTCAAATAACCATTGTAGGGTTCCGTATATTAAATTCTTGTTTCATATTTTCATGCCATAACTTCAAGGTCGGGAATCGTTTTAATAAGAAGCAATTACCTCTAGACAACCTTGGATTACAATAACAGGTTGTTGGTATCTGACTGACAGTGTGGGGATTCCAAATATATCTCGTTATCCACCACTTGTTTTTAAAGAGTATTATATATTATAGTATATATATAAAAATACTTACAAAACTGAAAACTTTTATGTTCAAATTTTAATCGATTAAAGATTATAGAAATTTTTAGCAATACATCTTATAATTATATTATTTTAAAAAATCTAGACTATAAAGAATCTTAAAATAGAAGTTTTACTCAATATAAAAAACGAAGTTTTCTTGATTTTTCAAGCCTAATCACAATAATTAGTCGCGTGACACACGGCTTATTCCTAAAATACACCTCCGTGTGCAGTAACTTTCGCCAGCATTGTAAAAAATAAACAAATACGGCAATAGGGTTGTGCAAATTCTCTTTTTCCTCTTTGAAATAACTCATTGTGCTCCCACTGTTTACAAATAAGCAACTCAAAGGGTTTTAAATCTTGGTGTCGAAAGCTTTTAAAACAAACTTAGGACAGAGCCTATTGTTTTGTTAGCACGCTCACAAATTGCTTTATTACACCGACCGTTCTGCGAAAGTCGATATCACCGAAATCGCAGACAAAACAATGTTTATCACATAGTGACTGAGAATTTGTATTCTAATGTACAGTTTCATAATAAAACTGTCTCGCGCGAATGTATTTAGCTCATCTCACGGTATCTGAAACAACATGAATTAAGTACGTTTCGCTCGCCGTTCTTTGTGTGTTTCTAAAATCAATCTACATATTATTCTCCTAAAATGTCAAAAATTTTCGGTAAATGAGTGGATATATTGAAATTCCTGCTATTTCCCAATGGACAGGCGGAATAGCCATAAAATGTAATCGTGTTTCGATGCCAGTTTGTGTGCTTTCGAATTTCCAACACCTTAATAGGGCGCCAACGCGTCTTCTTAAGATGTTATATGGACGGGGTGTTACCACGTTAAAACCATGCTCGTTTCTCCGCCGCTATCATAAAAAACAAGTTATTAAACTCGTTTTATAGCGCTATAACAATTAAGAACTAATCACTGTCAATCGTAACTCGGATGTAAGCTAGAGCCGTGAAAAAAACGCCCGCGAACAATAACATCTGAGAATTGACCATAAAGTGACGACCTTGCGGCAATAAAAATTTAACGAGGCAAGCCTGTGGCGTAGTGTAGTATAAACACTGCCAGATTTGTGGACGTGATCGTCATAGAATCAGCTGGGTCGACATGTGGCCATATGCCAACGTGACAACGTCAGTTGCACTCGCGTATTTATCGTAATTTTAAAGGCTTGTAGAGGAAGCGTAAGATTTATTTGTTAGTTTCTTATCCATTTTACCATTACATTTTATATATGAAGAACATAAATGTCTACTTGACAATAATTTATAAATACAGCTTTCACTGCTCGGGTTAATTTACGCGGAATCTATTCTCATGCTCTTGTTTTCGTAAGTGGAGCGGCGTCGCGGTCGCGTAAAAAAATCGTTATCGCAATGATACATAGATGTTTTGTTCAATCCAGAGGTCTTTGTACTGGCAACATTTAAAATGTCAATGTCACTACGTGCGGCGCGCCACTCGCGTTTTTCATTAGATATTACATCTTCATATGTTCACGGCCTTGACTATGCTATTACTCGGATTGCGCAACTATTTTTGGGCTAATTTTAAAGTTCAATAGGGTTGTCGACCTCAACTAATTCATACAATGCACCATAAGATATTCGATGTAAGCAAAATATTGTCTTTACAATAAAATTAATATAAGCATTTAAAATGTCTCTATGTAATTCTTGATAATTAACACAGTTAATTAAGTTAATTTTAAAGAATTGGAACAACAATAAGGAAAACAGTTTTACAGAAGTGCCCAACATTTGTTTAAAATTAGATAGAAAACGTAACCTATTTCGTTATAATTGGATAATAAACATTAGTCAAGAGTGTTTGATCATTTATTTATGAATTGGTTCGTATCCACGTTCCTACGAAACTATTTAAAACACTTTGAGTGTATCCATTTATATAACTATCTATGAAGTTTGTTTATGCCTACGTGCGCTTACGCAATATTGCCAGAATATTTATTAAATTTGTCGAATTCCTTAGAAGAATTTCCGACACTAGTAAATGTGTTAATAACTTTGTTATCGGATTAAATCATTACGTACAGAGCGTAGTTAATTCTTGTACCCCCCTTATTTGTTATACTTTTGTAGCAATTCGACATTCAAATTAATTGAATACGGGATTTAAGTTATATAGAAGCTCACCAAGATTATATAATTGCTTAAAGTTCCAAGAAAAATTCTGAGTTTGGATCCCTAGGAAATAAAAATTATTTTGGTTGGACAGGGTACAAAAGTCTAATCAATAAAGTCACCAAAATGGGCACAACTACCTTTGTATGTCCACCACAATGGAAATTGGGATTAAACTTTGTTTTTTACCCCTGGTACGGGTAATTTGGAAAACATTAATTTATTTGTGATTAATTTTTTATGAATTCTATATATAACCTATGAAATTGTAAATAAGTTCGATGTTCTTATAAATCTATTGTGAGCTTTAATACATAAACCGCGTATGAAATGCAGGCCTGATGACGTTTTTGCAATTATAATTCATATCCTGTTGATATAAAAGCTTAATTTTATAACCTTAAGGTATCTTGAATTACAAGTATTTATTCATTAGGTTACGCTGGGCACGTTACTACGGCTTTATTCAAAAGAAGTAGCAAAGCGTATAATATTTCAATGTTTTTATTATTTCACGGTCCATTTTTAAATATTGGATTAACATAATGCTCGCGTGTTAATGCTATTATCTATATTTATTATTGAGAATAAATATTTTAAATTGCTTCTATTACTTACTATTGTTTAGTGTAGTTAAGCAATTATTACTGCTTTTTAATTTCAACTAATTTATTTATTCTACTTAATATACAAGTAAAACAATCTTTCATATTTACGGTTAGTAAATTCATTACAATTATAATAGAATAATTAACAATGAAAAAGTTTGAATTAATACAGTTAATTTGTATCGAAATGTCTTTATAACGCGTTAATCATTCTATTCATTTGTGGTTTGTTGTTATTTGTAAAGTTATAGGTGACAATTTACATAATATTATTGCCCATTGTAATGGATTTGTTCCTGAATATATGTATAACGAAGAAAGGTATTGAGTACTCACAAAGATACGTGATCGGTTTAAAAAAATGTTAAGTTAACCTAGGTTAGTATAAAAAGGTAGTAAAATTCTAATAATATTAGATATAATATATAAATACATGATTAAATAAAACACTTTAACGGTTTAAAACACGATATATTAGATAACCGTGACCACGGCTGCTGCAAAGCATCCTAAACGTCGGGCTGAAGTTAAAAATCATTGTCAAATAAGTTTAACAAATATATCGCGTTTTAAGCCGTCAAAGTGTTTTATTTAAATGTAGTACACATTTAAATAAAACACTTTGACCCGCGTAAACTATAGACAGATTTGAAATAAATATACGATTATAATTTTTTTCAGTTTAAATTAAATGTGTTTTTTTTTGTTCAGATTGCCGACACCGATATTATTTAAACTTACTGATGAATTTTGATAAAATCACTATTGTAAAATAATGAAAGAACAATAAGTGGTGACAATATTTTGTCATTAAAAAAGTATTTACGTGTACTTAGTCGTAAACCTGATATTCATGAATTTACTGTCTTAAAACATTGAAATGTTTATGTTAAATATTTAACACGCACAGCAACATTGTTGTACCAGAGTTTCCCATACATAAAGCTCCAGAAAACTGACT